ATCCGTGGTCTAAAGGAAGAAGAAAAGAACAGGGTGTGCAGAGTGACTTAGGGAAAGTGGGGATCTAGAAGGAAGCGTGGATGAAACTGTGATAATGCAGACGGAAGACAGTATCAGAGTGTTGTAGAGAGGAAAGGATGGATTGTAGAGACCTGTGCAGTAGGCAAATGGGAAATAAGTGCTGTGACTGAAGAGTGTCAAATAGCCCAGTGGTGGTACAGAGAAAGATAGTGCCACAGAGTGCAGGGGGTGAAAAAGTTATTAAATTACTACTGCCCATAAAGGTAAAGGTAAAGGGACCCCTGACCATTAGGTCCAGTCGTGGCTGACTCTGGGGTTGTGGAGCTCATCTCGCTTTATTGGCCGAGGGAGCTGGTGTACAGCTTCCGGGTCATGTGGCCAGCATGACTAAGTCGCTTCTGGCGAACCAGAGCAGCACACGGAAACGCCGTTTACCTTCCCGCCAGAGCGGTACCTATTTATCTACTTGCACTTTGACGTGCTTTCGAACTGCTAGGTTGGCAGGAGCAGGGACCGAGCAACGGGAGCTCACCCCGTCGCGGGGATTCGAACCGGCGACCTTCTGATCGGCAAGTCCTAGGCTCTGTGGTTTAACCCACAGTGCCACCCGCGTCCCTACTACTGCCCATGAGCAAGTGTAAATCAGCTACTTTGTATGCCAGCTAGTGGTTTTGTTGGTGTCCAGAAGTCATAAACACGTCTAGGGATTTTGGTTTCTACATTTCTCAAATGTCAAAAATGGATACGAACAGGCTGATAATGGAAATCTCCAGTGATTTGGAAAGATGGGCACTACCCAGACTTGGTATTCGGGGCTAAGGTTAGCGCACTTAAAATGAATATTCTGCCATGAATAATATGTGTGCTGCATGATAATTTACTACCTGTTCCTTAAGCATATCTTCAAAAGATCAGTGTGCTATTTCAGAAGTTTATTTGGGGTAATACTCTACCTCATTGACCCTCATAAAAGAATGCAGTTCCCTATGCTGGAACGAGAATTTCATAAGACATATCTTTTAGCATGCACAAACAATCAGCAAGTCTTTTTTCTAGAAATACCCCCAACATGGGTTAGTTTTAGATATGGCTTACATAAACACCCCTTTTTGAATGGGAGGTGTTGAGGATCTAGGTATGTAAAAAGAGCAGGACCTATATATCGCCTGCAATTTCAGCAGCTTGAGAGGCAATGGCACATAAGAATTTAAGAGCCTTTAAGAGACTTGTACTGCAAGCTGGAGGTAACATAGGAACATAGGAATCTGCCTTAAACCAAGTTAGACAGTTGGTCCATCTAGCTGAGTATTGTCAACAGTGACTTGCGGCAGCTCTCCAGGATGAAATATCCACTATCTATTTTGCAATGATCTGACATTCTGAATACTCTCACTACATTTGAATGTACTCTTTATAAACACCAACTTTGCCTGAACACCTATTTGGACACTTGGATGGCATGTATCAATCTGAATGCTTAATGGATGTGTTGATGTTTATTATTTTGTTAATGCACTGCCAGGTTTTGTTTTTCCTTGCGCTTTTATTGTGTTCCATTTCTTTTTCTCCCCTTTATAAGTGAGATGATTTCTGTTTAGCCAATCCTGAGACCAGCCCATTTTCCAGTTAGCAGAAATTTTCATTTGAGCGGCCGATAATGCCACTAATTCTTTATGCACAATATTTGAATTGCTATGACTCTCTAGGGCCAAGAGAGGTATCACTGGGTCTAAATTAAGATGCTGACAATCACATGGGCGGGGGGCAATTCTGTTTCCCAAAAAGCTTCAGTAGGGATACAGCCCCATCACATATGCCTGAATGACCCAAGAGCTTCACAACCTCTCTGACATTTGGGGGGTAATGAATTGTTTATATGATAGAGTTTAAGGCACAGAATGCAGCCTGTGAGGGAATGGACCATGTAGCATGACACTGCAATGGCGATGCAGTCGGGGAGCACAATACAGAAAGGCAACTATGCTACATAGACCATTACCCCCACCAGTTGCATCATTGGTGCTTCACTGGTCCATATTGGATAGGCTAGTGCTGCAATTGCATTTAAGTGTGGGGTGGGGAGAGAGAGAGATAAAGATGGGTAAGCAACTTGGAATAATAATATCATGTTGTTGTTGTTGTTGTTGTTGTTGTTTATACCCCACCCATCTGGCTGGGTTTCCCCTGCCACTCTGGGCAACTCCCAACAGAATATTAAAAACACAATAAAACATCAAACATTAAAAACTTCCCTAAACAGGGCTGCGTTCAGATGTCTTCTAAAAGTCAGATAGTTGCTTATTTCCTTGACATCTTGTGGGAGGGTGTTCCACAGGGTGGGCGCCACTACCGAGAAGGCCCTCTGTCTGGTTCCCTGTAACCTTACTTCTTGCAGCAAGGGAACTCCCAGAAGGCCCCCGGAGCTGGACCTCAGTGTCCGGGCTGAATGATGGGGGTGGAGATGCTCCTTCAGGAAGACAGGTGCATGCAGCAGTTTGGCAGTGGTGTGCTCTGGATTTTCCAGAATAAAAGAGACATGAGTCCTGTTCAGTTATTTGGTGTGCATGAGTACTAAATGTTTCAAGGAGCTTCTGAGAATGCTCCTAGCTTGACCCAACCCCTAGATACAGACATGCATTCATTCACTCACACACACTCCTGGATAATGCATGACTAGTGTTGGCCTGAAAAGTGAACATGAAGCTCCCTCCAAGGAGTTGTAAACAAGGGTTGACTACGGTTTCCATTCCTGCAAAGGGACCATATGTAGCCCCCCCCCCATGCCCATGTCCTGAGAAAAATATGCCACTGCAAGGAAGGAGTTTTATGCTGCAGTTCTCCCAGATCACCACACGAGGCAGCTGAACATTACACTTGTTCACAAGCAACTCCTGGGCAGGATTAATTCACTTCATGAGACAGATGTTGGCTCACATGAGTACCAAAAAAATCCCTGTACACAGAGCGGAATGGCTCTAATGTACTATTCTCCCTGAGTGGTAGGCTAGTTTTCTAAGTGGATGGATTTTATTTTATTCTTAATTCCATCATGCAAACTCCCACTTGCAGTTCAGACACAAGTTTATCCCCTCATCTGCTGTTTAAGAGAGCAAGGCCTAATAGGTGAGAGGGGTTTCCAGTGAAATTAAGGGACTTGCATAGCTCTAGCTCAGGGGTCGGCAAAGTTTACCGGCCATGGGCCGGATCATTCTCACAGAGATTGTCCGTGGGCCGGACTGGTGCAGCGCGATGCCGGAAATTGCGTCTACACATGTCCGCAGTGCCGGAAATCGCTTCTGTGCATGCCCAGACGCTGAAAATCATGCCTGCGCAGAAGTGATTTTCAGCGTCTGGACATGTGCAGACGTGATTTCTGGCATCTGCGCGTGCACAGATGCCATTTGTGGCGCCACTCGGTGAGTGCCCGTGCCACGCTGGTTTAGCGCAGCGCGCGGGCGGCTCAATTTGGGGGTGGTTCGTGGGCCAGTAAGACGGTCTTCGTGGGCCGCATCTGGCCCATGGGCTGCACGTTGCCGATCCCTGCTCTAGCTTAACAGTCTTGGAATTTCAATGGTCTTCCAGTGTGCATATCCTAGAATACAGGTGTTCAGGTGCTCTTTGCGACTCAACCCTCTGTAATGGATTTAAAAAAATAATATTCTGTACTAGCTGCATGTTTCAGAGGTTCCACACTGAAGGTGTTAGAGAATATTAGGCAAGATACCTGTGCTTGTGTCACACCATAAGCAACATAGCTTTGTGGCATGTTAAAGGCAGATTTATTACGGCATAAGATTTCATGGTTTCGTTTCAGCTGGAGGAAGAGCATTCTAGTTCACAAAAGCTTATGTCATAGTAAGTCTGCTATTCTTTAAGATGCCACAAGATTCTTGGTTGTTCTTATCGATCAAAGCTCTATATTGGTCTGCTGCTTGTCAGAGCTTGCACAGCTGAAGTTTCTGAATTGTTTTCAGAGGCAGCCCTACATATAACCCATTGCAGTAATCTTACCCTAAGACTCAGCTATGCAGCTGCAAATATGTTTTAATGCATATACAAGTGTGACACTAGATGGCGATGGTGAGCTCATGACAAATTCAATATATATTTCAAAACACTTAAAAAAAAATCACAGCATTTTTGTGTGTGTCTAGAATAGATCATGGGTAGGCAAACTAAGGCCCAGGGGCAGAAGGCCCAATTGCCTTCTAAATCCGGCCCGCAGATGGTCCGGAAATCAGCTTGTTTTTACATGAGTAGAATGTGTCCTTTTATTTAAAACGCATCTCTGGGTTATTTGTGGGGCCTGCCTGCTGTTTTTACATGAGTACTGTAGAATGTGTCCTTTTATTTAAAATGCATCTCTGGGTTGTTTGTGGGGCGTAGGAATTCATTCACCCCCCCAAAAAAAATATAGTCCGGCCCCCCACAAGGTCTGAGGGACAGTGGACCAGCCCCCTGCTGAAAAAGTTTGCTGACCCCTGGTCTAGATTCCACCCCAGAGGTTACCAGAGCATAGATGGCAGAGGTTAGGCTATCCCTGCCCAGAGAGGGGCGCCACTGAGTCCACCTGAGCCTCAAGGGACAGCAAAAGGGACCCAAAAGTACCCCAAAAGTTGCGTACCTGCTCCTTCAGGGGGACTGCAACCCCATCCAGAGCAGGCAACCTCCCATATTGTTGGTGCTCACCGGGGCCTTTTTAAGGCTGGGAAAACATGCTTTAAATATTATAAGTAAAACATTAAAGTTTACTTAGCACAAAGCACAAGAGACCAAAGGCTCGTCTAGTCCAGCATCCTGTCCCGCACTTGCCAAGTCTTTGCTCCCTTTTACAAGTTTTTTTGTTGCCTATAACTTTGGCCCAGTGCAGTCAAGAGGCAGAGATAACCCCAAGTGCTGGCGGGATCTTTTTCGGCATTTTTTTCACATGCGTCCTCTTCCGCAGCTGCTATTCCGAGCCTTTCACGAGGCCTCTACTACGCAACCCAGACGCTTCTCCCCTCTATTATAGATCGGCGTCCGGTGTCAACCACCCGAAGGCGGACACGTGAGGGGAAACCAAGTCGGGCGGTCGGAGAGGGCGGGTTGCAAGAGCTCGTATTACAGCCGAGGGGAGGAAAGGCTTCTTTCCCGCGAAGCCAGGGGCTTGGGGCGGAGCAGGTGGGCCCGTCGTGACAGGAACCCGGGAAGCGAGAGGAGCCGCAGCCCCGCAGCCCGGCCGGGAGAGGCTTCTTTCAGGCCCGAGAGGAGCTCGGCCGCGCCCCGGACCCGCCTGGCCATGGACCCCGAGCGCGGTGAGTCACGTCGAAACCCTCCGCGGCGAGCTGCCTTCCCCTCTCCCCGCCCGACGTGCGCGCACCCCAGGCCTGAGCTGCTTTCAGGCTGCAGTCCCGGGGAGCTTGCTTGGGAGAGGAAACGCGTTCCACCGCAAGGGTTCCTTTCTGCGTTGTCTCATGCTACATGGGAATCTGCCTCCGTGTTTCATCCCCACTGTTAAAATTAGGTGCAATCTGGGGGCACAGGTGTTGCTGGATTGCAACGCCCAGCACCCCTGAGCATTGGCTAGGTTGGAAGGGAGTTACAGTCCAGTTGGAACTGCAGAACCACAGGTTCCCTACTTCCTAAAATGTGATCTCCCCACTGTCCTGTTCTCTTTCCCCAATTCCCTTCCCCTTCCTTAACTCACCTGCATAAGAGCATCTTCATAAAATCATAGGATTGTATGGTTGGAAGGGGCCAGCAGGGTCAAGTGTAGCCAAGTAAGATTGTCTTCCATGAACCCGGTCTTAACAGTGAGTCCATAAGTGACTGTGGAGGCCAGTTCTGGATCCACATGTCCTTCAACAGTGGGGACATGGGTTTCTGGGTGGGAGTTGATCACGGTTAGGGTTTGCCAAATGTTCTTTCCTCTTAGCATGTTTATCCCTTTCGTCCTGAGTTCGAGCGTCTTCAAAGTCCATGACACCTTTGGTAAAGGCCATTCTCCAATTGGAGCGATCACAGGCCAGTGTTCCCCAATTGTCTGTGTTTATACTACATTTTTTAAGATTTGCCTGGGGAGAGTCTTTAAACCTCTTTTGTTGACCAGCAGCATTATGTTTTCCATTTTTAAGTTCGGAATAGAGTAGTTGCTTTGATAGACAATAATCAGGCATCCAAACAGCATGACCAGTCCAGCAAAGTTGATGTTGAAGAATCATTGCTTCAACACTGGAGATCTTTGCTTCCTCTAGTACACTGGCACTAGTTCACCTATCTTCCCGAGTAATATGTAATTTTTTGGGAGACACCATTGATGGAAACTTTTGAGGAGCTGGAGATGGTGTTTATACCGGTAAGTGGTCCATGTTTCACAAGCATACAGTGAGGTTGGTAGTACAGTAGCTTTGTAAACAAGCATTTTGGTTTCCCTGAGAATGTCCCAGTCCTCAAACACTCTGAACTTCAATTGGGAGAAAGCTGCACTCTCAGAACTCAGGTGATGCTGGATTTTGGCATCAGTGTCGGCCCTTGTGGAAAGATAACTTCCTAGGTAGGAGAAGTGATTGGCATTTTCCAATGTTACACTATTGAGTTGGATTTGTGGTGCTGCAGAGGGGTAGTTTTGTGCTTGTTAGTGCAACACTTGTGTTTTTTGGATGTTGAACAATAGGCCAAGCTTTCTGTAAGTTTCTGTGAAGATATTTAGGATGGTTTGGTCATCCTCTGAGTGTGCACACACTACATCCTCATCGGCATACTGAAGCTCTGACGGAAGTTATGGTAACCTTGCTCTTTGCTTTCAGCCTACTCAAGTTAAAGACCTTTCCATCTGTTTGATAATTATTTCTACTCCAGTGGGGAGTTTCCCTTTAACAAAGTGTAGGATCATGGTGATGAAAATAATAGATTTGGGGTGATAACAAAACCCTGTTTAACACCTGATGCCACTGTGAATGGTTCATTTTGAGAGCCATTGTTACTTGCAATTGTTGCTGTCATGTTATGGAGGCGCCGAAAGATGTTCACAAATTTATCTGGGCAGCCGATTTTCAGAAGGACAGTCCACAGGGCATTATGATTTAATGTCAAAGGCCTTAGTCAGGTCAATACGGGGGTTGGTTTTGCTCTCTGCATTTTTCTTAAAGCTGTCGAGTGGCAAAAATCATGTCCACTGTCCCCCTAGAAGGTCAAAAGCCATTTTGGGATTCAGGAAGGGTAGCCTCAGATATTGTTAGGAGATGGTTTGCTAAGATCCTTGCAAGAATTTTGCCAGCCGCAGCTAATAGAGATGCCTTGAAAGTTTCTGCAATCCATTCTATCACCTTTTTTAAAAGAGTGATCATTTTGGCATCCCTAAAGTCTGCTGGGATCTCCACTCTCTCCCAGATTTTTTCCGATGAGCTTGTGAAGTTGTTGTGTAAGTTCAATTCCACCTACTTTGAAGACCTCGGCAGGTATCCCATCAGGTCCGCTGGCTTTGTTGTTTTTCATTTGGTTAATAGCTGTACACAACTCTCCCAGATTTGGAGATACTGAAGCTCATCTTGCACCAGCATAAGAGCATCTGTGTAGAATCATAGGATTGTATGGTTGGAAGGGATCTGAAGGGTCATCTAGTCCAACCCCCTGCAAGACAGGAATCTTTTGCCCAACGCATGACTCTACTGACTGAGCTATGAAGAACGCCATAGTTTTTGCCTGTTGTCAAACCCAGTAAATCATTTAGTTCATTGTGTGTAACCTTTAAGATTTAAGCCATTAAAAAACACCCTACACTAAAAGATGTAACATGTAAATATGAAATTGTCTTTGCAGTTGCACAAATATCCTAACCCAGTGGTTCCCAGACCTTTCACCCACACAGCGACTTCTTGAAAATTGCATAACAAATTTTCTGCCTGCTGTTGCAACTGTATTGCTCTGTACTAGATGCTGTCTGGTTTCTAATTGTATTTTTATTGCTTCTTTTGTTTCAACTATTTGTATTTTATCATATTACCATTTGGATTCTACAGAATACGATACAAAATACAACAACAATAAAGATGCAATATAAGGAATAAAAGAAGCAATAAAAACAGTTAAAATCAATATGAACATCTAATGCTCTGTGGCCACTGTTCTTCACAGACCACCTGAATAAATGGTGGTCTGTGCACTATAGTTTGGAAACTCCAATCCTAACCCTTTTGGTGATACTCTTTCAATTGATTGCAGTAGGATTGAGATATCACTGGACCACAATGCCCAGCATCCTTTGCCCATTGACCATGCTGCCTGGGGGTGAGGGAAGTCCAACAACTGGAAAGGCCAGAGTCTCCCTACCCTGTGCTAAGTTATAGGCTGAGGCATGGGGGCATATCAGAAGTGTGCGTGGCATGGTTCTCCTGTTATACCAGCCTCCCCCAACCTAGGACCCTGCAGTTGCTTTGGGTTGCAATTCACAGCAGCAGCAGCAATCGACCTGCAGTGTCACAGCAGTTGTTTGTGGGTGCAATGTAGGAATATGGGGGTCATTCACACATGTGTGCCACAGCAGTGCATGAGGGGCTGCTACTGGAACCGAAAGGTCAACCTCTCCCAGGGTGCATGCGGGCGGATTTTGCATGCCAGCAGATGCCTCTCTTGACCCAGTTCCCAGCCTGTGCAGAGTAGTGAGATAATTTGGAGCAAGCAGCTGACAGAGATGGTGATGGTTGTTTGGAAGCCACCTTTGATATCAGCAGATGTGTGTGAAGCCTCAAGCAGGCACAAGTATTGGGATGTCAGATGCACATCCATAAAACAAGTACCTTTTTATGTGCCGAGGCTCTGAATGAGCCACTCTGCCTCCGGCTCCATTGGTTTCCTGCATTCCATTAGCCCTCCAAAGTCATTTTGCCCCACAGCAGGTTGAGGCGGAGACTAGTGGAAGTACATGATCTGCGTACACCCCATACATTCAAAGCACATGTAAAGCCCATGATTTTCCCCAAAGAATCCTGGGAACTATAGTTTGCCCTCCTTACAGAACTGCAGTTCCCAGCACCCTTAACAAACTACCGTTCCTGGGATTCTTTGTGGAAGTCGTGTGCTTTAAATGCATGGGGTGCCATGGGGTGCATGCAGCCCTTATTTAAGTGGTGAAATAATTTGCTTCTGAAAATATTACAGACATAGACTAGAGCAGTGTTTCCCAACCTTGGGCCTCCAGCTGTTTTTGGACTACAACTCCCATCATCCCTAGCTAGCAAGACCAGTGGTCAGGGATGATGGGAATTGTAGTTCAAAAACAGCTGGAGGCCCAAGGTTGGGAAACACTGGACTAGAGCATGACTTAGGCATTAATGTGTGTGCATTTATATTTGGTAGGTGGAACTGCTTGGTGCTGACAGACCGTTCTGCTGAGGTCCTGGGAGAAGCACAGTTTTGAAAGAGGCTGTACATGGGGCTAACTCTTCAGGTAAGAGCATGCATCGGGCTACTTCAGGTGGTGGCTTGTGTGTCCTCCATTAAAGAGAGGCAGGCTTTGAAAAAACACTTCAGTAGAATCTCGTAGAATTGTAGAGTTGGAAGGGACCCCGGGGGTCATCTAGTCCAACCCCCTGCAATGCAGGAATCTCAACTAAAGCCTCTATGACAGGTGGCCAAGCTAGGTCTACAGAGCTTGCCTGGCCTGAGAGTCGGCCCCCGTGTGCCCCCTTCCGAGGCAGCCGTGGAGGGTTTCAACACAAGAACAGACTCCTCGGTGGTGACTCCCCACTTGTGGAATGCTCTCCCCAGGGAGGCCTGCCTGGCAAAAGCATTTTTATTCGCTCAAGCCTTTTGGACCTTAATTTTCTGCTTCTCTTTTAATGGAGTGGTGTTGAATTGGATCTGCTCTTTTATGCGTATAATTGGTGAGGATTTTAGGCTTGGCTTTTGCCGGGTAATCTCATTTACATTAGGTCTTATTTGATACAAGCGAACTCTCATCTCCTCATCAGCACAAAGAAGCCTTTCTCTTTCCTGATTTTTTCCTCTTGGACACGGTTGAGAATCCCTGTTCACCACACCATGTTGTGGAGAGCTGTAGAAGAGCAATCCATGCTCTTGCAGAGAGGCATGGATACTGTTTCTGCTTTTATATATAAAAACTATCTTATACTACACTGAAATGTTTAAATGTTTCTTTAATTGTCCTTGAATCTTCCTGCCACACTTGCCATCTTCTCCTGTCACCCCAGTGTGGCGCACCACACCCTTTGAGAACCACTGGCTCAGAGGAACAATCTCATTTTTCTCCCTCTCTTCCCCCACCCTCAGGAAAACAGTCACACTCGTTCAGACCAAT